CTCTTAAAGAGTTCATGTAGAATCTGAGGATGGAAATAAAAATTCCTCCTAGATTTCTGCCAATAAAAAATAGCTCTAGTTAATGATACATTTAGAGGAAGATTTTTCCATTTTAAAATAGCATGCATGGTCTCCCTAGAAAAAGAAGAAAGATAAAACAAAACAAACATACAATATTCACATTACCCACTGGGGTCAAGGGAATTTTAGGCAGCCCACACCAATCTTAGTGTTCATGTCTTTAATAACAATCTCTACACTTTCAACCACAGTATCTATATAATATGAGAGAAATGGAGAGGCTTCAAATAGTAACTGAATATTTAACGGGGCAGTCCATTTTCTTGGCAGGAGTAGTGAGATGGAGAACAATAAGTAATCCAATATAACAAGTATCTAAATTAAATAAGTAATTAGATTAAGCAGCACAGAGTAGACTGTCATACAGAGAAAAAGGTTGAGCCTCCTAGAATGTGACTCACTCTGTCCTGAGCCTAAAGCTCCACCAGGAGGAAATGCAGGTTTTGAACGCTGAGTTTTACTTCAAACAAATTCTTTAAAAACACATTGGATAATGTGAACGGAAAATGAGTCAAAGATTTGAACAGATACTTCACACACACACACACACACACACACAAATTACACAACCAACCAACAAGCACATGAAAAGATGCTTAACATCACTAGTCATCACGGCTAAACAACACAAAACCGCAATGAAATGTCACCACGTTTTAAAAACTGACTGACCAAGCACTGATCAGAATAGAAGGTTTTTTGGGTTCCAGACGACACTGGTCAGAATGCAAAGGAATGCAGTCATTTTAGAAAGTAGTTGAGAAATTTCTTACAATGATAAAGGAAACCCTAAGGGAGCTCTGGTGGCCTAGTGGCAAGAAGCTGCACTGTAATCCCAGAGGGACACAGTTCGAATGCACCAGATGCTCTGCTGGAGAAGGAAGGGCAATCTCCTCCTGCACCAGTCAGATCCGATTTGACGTACACACACATACAAAAATAATAAAATAAAAAGATAAATAAAACCCTCACATAAGCCATTCAATCTCAGATATTTAACCAATAAATTAAAACATGTTCACAAATAAAGATTTAAATACAAATGCTCACAACAGGTTTTTCCGTCACAGTTAAAATTTGAAAGTTATCCAAACACCCATTAATAAACTAAAATCTAATTGCTTTCAAGTCAAACAAACCCACAGCTGATACTGCAGCAGGTTTTAGAGAGGTTGTAAATCACAAAGGAGAAAGTTGTCCATCTTTTTCCTGCAGGGTTGTTGGGGCCACTTTTGGGCTAACAGTAATTCCCCATGGACTAGGCCTCCAGAACTCACCATCAAGAAGTGTATAGAACAAATTTAAGAAGAAATTATTTCAATTTATTCTTGAAAACAATGTATTCAAATTTTGTAAATAAACTAGCAGAACTTTTTTTTTTGAGGATGAGAATAGCTGCACAATTCAAAGAAAGTAATCAATGTTACTAAACGATACACATACAAGGGTTGAATTCTTCTATGTTTTGCTGTGTGGATTAATAAAGAATTATAAGAAAGAAAAAAAAGTAGCAATCTCATCTTCTTCCCTACTTTTTGTCCATATATACAATTGTCAACTATGAAAATAAAATTATCAGCTTATTTCAAGGAGTTATTAGGAAAAGAGCTGATAAAAACATGTACCCAAATGAACCATTAAAATGCTAAAAAAAAAGTGAATAGACAAATTGGGTTTGGAGAATAACTCATTAAGGCCTAGACCACCAGAGCTCCCCATCAGTAAGTGGATAGATAAACTCCAGTCTATTCATACAAAAATGAAAAACAATGGATTCTTGATATTCACCACAACTTGACTGAATCCTACAATATTTAGTTGTATGAAGTCAGACAAAAAAAGGACACATACTGTTTAATTCCATTTAAATGAAAATCCACTTCTATGAAAGTAGAAAAGTGTTTTTACTTTCATATAAAAAAAGTAAATCTCCAAATAGACAAATCTATAAGGAGAGAAAAATGATCACTTCCCCCTCTTCTGGTTTGCTAAGAAGGAGCATGAGAAACATTTGAGGCTGATGGATTTAAACTGTGTGCCTTTGGTATTGCACCACAGCTTCTTACCACTTGGCCACTAGAGATTCTCACATTAGTGAAATAAAGTAGTAAAGATTCGCAGTCTGCGGGTTCCCTGTTTTACTCTTTGGGAGAAGTCTTTTGATATATAAAGACTTAATTCTTAGAAGGTTCCAATTTTCTACTTTATCCTCTTATAATTGCACATTTTCAGCTACATTTGATGATTGTTGATGCAGGCTCCTAAATTTATCTCCTTTATTCTTTACAGTTTTAGGTTTTATGCCAAAATCCTTGCTCCATCTTCAGATTATTTTTATATATAATGTGAAGTGTGGATCTTGTTCTAATTTTCTGCAAATAGATATCCAGTTTTTCCAGCATCCAATTTTAAAGAGTTTATTTTGTTGTTTTTAATCAATTAATGGAATTCACCTTTTTGTCTAAGATCAGTTTTACATAGGTAGACAGATTGATTTCTGAGTTCTTAAGTATAATCCAGGAAGCTCTGGCCTAGTGAACAGGAAGTTAGAAGTTAAACTATAAGTGGTGCCTAAAAAAAAATGTGGTGCCTCTCTGATTATTTTAATTTAGCTCTCAGGAGGAAAGATGGGCATTCTCCTCTTGTGCCATTTACAGTCTCAGAAAACCTGCTGTAGGGTTAGTTTATGGGTCAGTGCTGACTCTACAGCAATGAGGGAGTGTGAATTATTTTCCATTGATACTTGAAGATTTTTAGATTTAGATGCTCTCTTGGCTCCGTTTTTGTGGAGGAATTCTTTAGGAGGCATATACCAAAGAAACTACTGTGTTTGGAAAAGTCTCTCAGGTACCTGAGCCAGACCACTTTGCCAGTCTCTTTAAAGCAAACAAACAAAATGCAGCACAGTTTAAACACCCTTATTAATCATACCTGTTTCCACCGCCATGTTGCTGGTACAAGAAGCCTTAGTTGCACTGTGGATTGAGCAGTGGAATTAAGCGGTCCATGCTTCCAAATCCATGAGCTGTTCAAGGCTGAAATATGAGACAGTCTGATTCTGCAGCTTGACAGCTTTGGAAATTCTATGGGTTAGTTCTTCTCTATTATATAGGGTCCAAGAGTTTGCATCCACTCATGCAGAGGGTGTATTTTGAGAGGGTTTTATTAGTCTTATTAGCTTTATTGTTGATTGCCTTTGAATCTAGCATAACTCCTAGCGACCCTATGGAAAAAAAAGGCTTGAAGCCTCTCTGCAACCATCGACTTTCATCAAAGGTCATAGAGTTTTCCGTAGGCAAGTTGTTCAGGAAGTGTACGTCACTCCTGCTCATAGCTCTAGTGATATAACTTTTAGAATCCATCAGCTGCTCCTCAAAACAAAAATGGGACAAAAATGTCCATTAAGATTTACAGCTTTGCAAAGTGATTGCTAATATTAGGTGGCATCAAGATGAGGGTGACTCATCCTGTGTAAGGTGATGCTCATCACCTCTGACAAACTTGAGCCCATTGTTGCAGTCAATGTCAGTCCATCTCTTCGGGAGGTCTCTTCATTTTTATTATTTTGTGTGTGTGTGTGTGTGTGTGTGTGTACCGTCAATTAGAATCCGACTGGTGCATAGGAGGAGATTGCCCCTCCTTCTCCAGCAGAGCACCTGGTGGATTTGAACTATGTACCTCTGGGATTGCAGTGCAGCTTTTTGCTACTAGGCCACCAGGGAGGTCTCTTCACTTTTGCTGAATGAACCTCCACCTTTCCAAACATGATGTCCCTTTTCATAGAATAGTGTCCGTGAGAGTTGGAATTAGCTTGACAGCAGTAGGAGCCTGGCTATCTCCCCTCTAACCCCCTTCACCAACATATGCCTGCAGTTTGCAATTCTGTTAATAACTATTAACAGACTGGTTATTGTATATCAGGAGAAAGAGTTGGTCCTGAGCTGAGATTTGAAGTTTAACTTTGTGCCGTGGCTCTAACAGAGAAGCCCACAAACAACAATGAGGGGTTAGTGGTTTCATGTTCTCACTTTTGCCCTCCACCTAGCAGGCGAGGCCTCCTGCACCTGCACGTGCGCGCCATGAGGTTCACAGCGCCGCGCGGGGAACTCCGGGAAAGCTGACGGTCGGCCTCTGCTGCGCAGGCGCTAGGGTTGCGGCGGCTGGAGGCGGTCGGCCCGCGGTTGCCTGGAGACCGGGCGGAAGTGGACGCTGGGGGGCGGAGCCCAAGGAGGAAGTTTTGAGACGAGGAGGAAATGGACGCGGCCTGGGACCTGGAGAACGAGGATGCAGAGGCGGCGGGAGGCTCTCTGGGTGCGCGGGAGGCACAGAGCCCCGCGGACTTCCTGGGTGTGAAGCGGAGGGGCGGGCGGCGGCCGCTGGGGCGCGACCATCACCTCCTCGCTTGGCTGCCTTTTCATCTCCCGGATGTTAGAGAACCGGCTGCCCTTGGCTGGCTGGTGCCCGGGGCAGGGATGCCCGAGAGGAGGCTTCTCCTTAAAGGGCGAGGACACATTCGGACCTTCCTCGTCCGAGCCCGGGACCAACATACCCGCAGACAAACAGACGAAATCGGAATAGGCCCCCGGGGAGCTTCAAGTTGGAGAAGTTGGGAGCCCTGGCGCCTACTTTGCAGAGGATGGACGGGGAGGGATGGGTCAGATGTTACCTAGGAGGAAGCACGTGTGCGGTGGCCGCAGATCTAGGCTATGTCCACCTTCTGACCCTCGGTTCTGACTGCCCAGCCCCAGGATCTGCGGGAAACTTGACCCCCACCACTTTTATATGGGGGCTGGTAGGGGAGATGATTAGTTTTACGTTTCAGAGATAGTACAACTTTTCCGTTTACCCTTCGCTCAGAATCCCCAAAGGTTGACTTCTAACACGTGTTCCGGTGCTTTTGCCAAAACTGAGAAATTAACATGTTTACAATAAAACCCAAGGGGGAGAAAAACAGTATATGCAAAACCGCGCCACCGCCCCCTTTCTCGCTTGTCGGTAACTAAGTGATCAGCGCTCTGAATGAATGTATTTCTGTGTTTTGCATGTGATGCTGCAGATCCTCTCGAAGTGGTGCCCACAGGAAGTGCCTTACCCCGAGTCATAGTTCATGTGGATCTGGATTGTTTTTATGCACAAGTAGAAATGATCTTAAATCCAGAATTAAAGGACAAACCTTTAGGTAATTCTTCTGTTGATTGTCTCGGTGTAATTACACGTTTGTTACAGTTTATTCCGATTTATTAACCAAATTGAAAAAGCCTTAAATGTAACAATTGGCATGCATTTCTTTGAGGTTTCTATAGGCCATGCTGTGATTCACAATCAAATGTAAACTTTCTAAGCCTCTTACTGGTGAGTTCTGTGAAAAATAGTCAGATGAGCATGTTGTTGTTATGTGCTGTCCAGTTGCTTGCAACTCAGCGACCCTATGGATAAGAGCCTTAAACCAGCTCTATCCTGTGCCAACCTTACTGTCCCTGAAATACCTACTCCCATTACCCAAATCACTGATTTGAACCATCTCATAGAGGGTCTTCTCCTGTGTTGTCCCTTCACCCTCCCAAACATGATGTCCCTCTCCAAGGACTGGTCCCTCTTTGCAACATGCCCAAAGTATGTCAGACATAGCTTCAGAATCTTTGCCTCCAAGGAGCAGCTCTGTTTCATCCTCTCCAGGACAAACCTGTTTGTTCTAGCAGTCCATGGTACATTCACTCCTTTTCAGCACCACTGCTCAAAGGCATCAATTCTCTTTATATCATCCCTAAGTCATTGTCCAGCTCTCTGGCATATAGCAAAGACTGTGGCCTGGATCAGGCGCACCTTAGTCTCCAGCCTGACATCTTTGTTCTTCAGTACTCTGGAGAGGTATCAGTCATTTCCCTAATTGGGTAAATGTCTTTAATCTGCTCCTTTCTGTAAAATGCTTGTCTATCAGACTCTAGTATAAAAAAAAGACAAAACTAGGAAGAAGGATTGACCATCCACTTCCGAAGTAACAGGCCTTCAAAAACCCTACGGACAATAGATGAACATAGACAGGAAAAATGAAGGTCTTCTGTGTCAGTGAGAGGCTTTGTCTCAATTTGTTTGAAATTTTATAAGCCTGACATTTCAGAAACAACCACTTTTCATTCCATTTCTAATAGACTTTACCATCTCTTCCTTTTGAAATCAACTCTTAAACTATAAAGTCTGATGGACAATTCAATTTTGGATAAAACCATATAGTCTTGAGAGAAAATACTTCTCATGACATAACCCTTTTATGTTTTTAATAAAACACAAGAAATTTTATACATTGTGGATTTGTGTATTGAGGCCCTGGTTATTTATGTATTTATTTATTCATTCATTCCTAGTTTGCATTGAGCAAGCAGTCCTCCCCTCCTTTTTCCCCATGTAGGAAGAAGAAAACCTAGCCTTTTTTTTAAAAAATCTATTATCAACAACCATAGTTGTTGTTACATATCAGAGTTGGAACCGACCCATAGCCGACCCTCCAGCGGGTTTTCAGATGCCGTTAATCACGTAGGATGAGACCGCCCATCCTTCTGCTGCAGAGTAGGTGGTGGACTCGGACGCGTATGTTTCGGCTCACAGCGCAACTTCTTGCCACTAGACCACCTAGTGGCAAAAGCTAGGCTTTTAACGAGCAGTTTTGATTCCCTTGTGAATTGATGCCTTTGAGCTGTGGTGCTGAAGAAGAGTGGACTGCTAGGAAAACAAACAGGTTTGTCCTGGAGAGGGAGAAGTCAGAATGCTCCTTGCAGTCAAGGATTCTGAAGCTTTGTCTAACATACTTTGGGCATGTTGCAAGGAGGGACTGGTCCTTGGAGAGGGACATCATGTTTGGCAGAATGGAGGGACGGCGCAGGAGAGGAAGACCCTCAACGAGATGGATCGATTCTCTGTCTGGAGTAGTGGGAATGAGTGCATTTGAGATGGCTAGGTTGGCACAGGATAGAACGGCGTTTAGAGCTCTTGTACATAGGGTCGCTATGAGTCGCAAACGACTCGATGGCACCCAACAACAATAACATTACTCTTTTGTGCCCCATTGGGTTTTTATGCAGCATGTTGCATTGCTATGCAAAAAATGTATGTTCAGATCTACCAGTAGTAACTCCATAGAAGAAAGCTGAGCACTCTCCTGTGAAGACTGACAGCCGCGAAAGTGGATGGAAGATCCTGCCATGGAGGGTCACTGAGCTGTGACTGGTCAGCAGCTGGCTTAGTCTTTTTAGTAAAGAGCAGTGGGTTGATTAGTTCTTGGTATCCCCAAGGTCATGGAAGAATTTTCTTAAAGGTGTCAAGGAGTTAGGATCCAGGGTGCCTCCATTGTCTTCTAAAAGCAGTTTTGATTATCACTGTAATACTGTGTTACAGTACTCTAAAAAGAAATGGGCAGGGTGGTTTTGGTTTTTTGAGGGCATTGCTAACACGAGTTGTTCTGTCAATCCAAACCCTTAGCCAAAGAGTTGGATTGTGACTCAACAACTCCTGTAGAACAGAATTGAACTGCCCCATACAGTTCCAAAAATAGAAATCTTTATGGGACATTTTTCTCCCCTTGAGTGGCTGTTCAGTTCCAGCTACTGACCTTTTGTGGGAGTTTCCTATTCCCCTAGGACTTTTTGTTTCATGTTGTTAGGTGCCATGGAGTCAGCTACAACTCATAGCAGCATTAAGAACAGCTGATGTGGACCTTGCTGTGTTTGGATCATCTTCATAATCTCTCATTTGCTCTACAGATAATGCTTAAGAAAAAGGTACAATGTTTCTGCATAGAAGAACCAAATGAATGGTTTTATGAACAAAATTATATGAATGGTAAAACTTTTCTTTAGGAAATAGAATCTTTCAAATATTTGTCTACTTAACTCTTGAAGCTAGTAACGTACACTGGTGGTTATATAGAATGTTACCAATCTTTTTTTCATAAAGCTCACTGATTACTTAAAATTACCTCCTTTGTCCCGTGGTTCTACTTATGGTAATCTGACATTAAAAAAAGAGAAAATAGGAATTTTTTTTTTGCATTGTATAATCACCAAATTTTAGAAATAAAAGCTTAGCATTGGGGAAATGGATATAACTTTTTTTTTCATCACGTGTGCATTCTACTTAATTTCAGTCTTTAGTGGTAAAAAACTATTGACTTGCTCTAAAAAACCCCAAAATAATTTTAACAATCCCAAGTAATCAATAAGCTAGAATTTGATCGTCTGTTTGCCATCACAAGTTAATGATTTGATAAGACAAGGCAACTTACAAATGCTTGTTCACTGATCTCCTCCGCAGATTACTATGAAGAGAAAGCTCACTAATTAGGGCTTCCTGGGGCTGTTGCTGTATGTAGGTTGTTATTTGTAACACAACGTTGCTTTGTGTCCATTGTGACAAGTTACTGTATAGATAAGTATGGAGAGTTAAGGATAATTTGCCCTTCTCCTCATAAATTCTTCACCACAGCAACCTTCACTTGTTGCATATGTAGCTTTAAAACCATTGACTAGGCTTCCAGTCATCTCTTTGTTATACTGAGAACATGCTCTGCCTTACCTTCAGATTAAAATAAAAACATTTAAAAAGGAATCTTCTTCCTTAGGAATAGGGGCCTCTTAGTGGCATTGGCCATAGCTTGGTACACTGTTAACCCAAAGAGGAGGCCTCTCTGACAGTTCAGTTCACCAGCTGCTCCAAGGGAGTATTAAAGCCTCCGCAAACAACTGGAGGAGCAGCTATGAGTCAATTCTGACTCATCGGCAGTGAGTGTTTTTGAACCTGGAAATGCCTGGGTTTTTCTAGGAGTGACCAGTGGATGGATAATCAATTTTTTCATCTAGTGGTTTATTTTTTTTTTAAATGTCATCTAGACTCATATATGGAAAGAAAAATCTAATTTTGCATTGTCTGGAAAAAGTACTAGATAGATTAAGTTTTTATCATATTACAAAAAAACCACACAGAATATGTTGATTTATGATAAATTTTTAAAAATCAGAAAAATATAATATGCCAGTTAACTTTTTATATAGGAAATAATTGTTCTTTCCCTAGTATGTAATTCCTACTACTGTTACCCAGTGTTTTAGTATTTACTAATAACAACTTCTCAAGGGGCAGAAGCAAACAGATTAGAAACATGATGTGAAAAATCATTGATATGGTTCTTAAGCAAGAGCATGAAAATTTTAGATTTCTGCTTTGTGGAATTTTTAATTCAAGTGTACTTTTAAATGGATGTAGGACTTTTAATTCTTTTTTTTAATGTTAGATATTTTTTATAGTTGTAAAAGGGACTTTTTAGTCTTACCAAAACACTACCATTTATGCAATAGCAATATGGAAATAGGGTACCTGGGTGGTACACCAGTTAAGTGCACAGCTACACTTTGTTGCTACTTGGCAATGTGTAGGATTACTATGAGTTGCAATTGACTTAGTGGCAACTGTTTAAGTATTCATATGAAAGTAGTAAATTATTAGATAGCATTTCAAACCTGCCCGGCTTTCTCACAAAATACTTGTGTTTTATAGGAGTTCAGCAGAAATCCTTGTTGGTTACCTGCAACTATGAAGCCAGGAAACTTGGAGTTAAGAAATTGATGAGTATCAGAGATGCAAAAGAAAAATGTCCACAGCTGGTATTAGTTAATGGAGAAGACTTGACTCAGTATAGAGAGATGTCATACAAGGTTACAGGTAAAGATAATAGGCAATATACATTTAGTATTTTTACTTCTTGTTGTTAGGTACTGTTAAGTTGGAACCAACTCCAGCGCATTTTCAGCTGAAGTAAATTGCCTCTTCCTGCAAAGCCATTTCAAGATTACAATTAACCATGAGCATTGATGTTTAATGCATTAAAGATAAAGGTATAAACATGATAGGCACAGAAAATTAAGCTACTAAAATTGCCATGAGTAAGTATCTCACGAATTTTGTTCTTGGATTTGTTTTGTTGGTTAAATACTACCAGTACTCCATATGGAAGGAGTGCTGGTGGTCTATTGGTAAGAAGTTGTGCTGTAATCCCGAAGGTGTACAGTTCAAATCTTCCAGCTGCTTAGCGGGAGACGGATGGGCAGTCCCCTTCCTGTGGAATTAAGTGCCTCTGAAAAACCACAAGAGGGTCAGCTGTGGATTGGTTCTGACTTGGCAGTATACTACAACAAAAATAACAACTCAGCGTGGAATAAAAAACCAATCATAGTCAACTTTTAAATTATAAACTGTGCAATTGTGAATATATTTGTGCAATTGTGAATATACACTTTTAGTATGATAGCAGATGTATTCTTTCATGCCTAATTAGTTAGGGAACTCTGGTGGCCTTGGGTTAAGGAGTTGTACTGCAAATGCAGAGCAAGCAGTTCAAATCTACCAGTTGCTCCTTAGGAGAAATATGCGCGGTATACACTCTCTGAAAATCTGCTAGAGGGTCTACTATGAGTCAATTCTGAATTGATGACAATGTGTTGAGTGTGAAATTAGTCTTTTGTTGTAATTTTTGTGTGTGTGTGTGTATGTTCCATTGTTATTCCTTTTAGAGCTATTGGAAGAATTTAGTCCAATTGTTGAGAGACTTGGATTTGATGAGAACTTTGTGGATATAACAGAAATGGTTGAGAAGAGACTACAGCAGCTTCAAAGTGATGACCGTTCCTTGTCAGCGTCGGGTCACGTATACAATGATCAGTGTGAGTTGATTCTTACTTACTCTGTTTAGTAAGTGAAAGCACACAGAGTTCTTACTGTTTCAGATCGTTGGCTTTGTCGTTCTAAAAGCCATGACTCAGCAGCTCTGTACAACAGATCGAAACCTTGCGTGATACTGCACCATCTCCGTGGTGTTTTAACCCGTTGTTGCCATCACTGTCCCATCTCATCAGTTACTGGAAGGATGGCACAAAGGAACTCTGGAGAAACAGCTCAAATGAAACAGCGATTGTGAGAATGACACAGAGCCGGACGCTTTGATTCTGTTGGGGGTAGGGTCACTGTGAGTTGGAATTGATTCAAAGGCAGCTCCCATCACAATCCAACAAAACAAACTTACTGTCTTCTAGTAAATTATGACTCAGCTACCCTGTAAGAGAGAGTAGAACAGGTCCCATAGGGTTTCTCAGACTACAAATCTTTGTGGGATTAGATTGCCTAGTCTTTCTCCCTCACAACAGCTGGTGGGTCCAAACCACTGACTTTTCATAGTAGTAGCTTAATACTTAAAAAATTAGGTGTAGCGGTTTAAAACTAACTAGACAAAAAATGGTATTTTGATGACATGCAGTTCAGTGCATTGTGCAGTTTTTATCTTTGATGTGGTCTTTTCCCATTTTTAAGAACCATGATTCTGTTTCATTCTTAAGTTACAGGAGTGGAATTGTAGGCTAAATTTACTATGAATGTCTCCATAACTGGGAGTTGTGTGTGTGTGTGTGTGTGTGTGTGTGTGTGTGTTCATTTCTATTTCCTCAAGTCACTGAGAACATCTTTTTGTTCTCTGATTTCCCTAGACAGGCTTTATGGAATCTCATCCAGCCCTACTTGCCAATCTCTTATTTTATGAAATAATTTTTGCAAACTCTTGGCAAAAGAAAATAATAGTTCTTCACTTATTAAGTGTAAATGACTAATAGATACTTGCTTTGGGAAGTAGACTACCACTCGTGGCCTAGAGGTAAGGAATTGTGCTGGCACACTGAAGAATGTGGTTCAAATCCACCAGCTGCTCTGCAGAAGAAGGGTGGGCACTCTCCTCCTATGGGTTGAACTGCTTCTGAAAACCTGCTGGAAGGACAGCTATGGGTCGGTGCCGACACAGTGGTGCACAGCAAAGAGCCACCATAAACCTCTGATTAAAAAAAAAATTCTAAATTCATTGCCTTTGAGTCAGAACCTCTGGTGTGTTTTCAGAAGCTAGAAATCAAGCGCACAGGAAAAGATTGCCCATCTTTCCCGCTAGAAAGGTGCCATCTTTAGGTTAGCACAGCTCCCTATGGTCAGCACCGCTGGGAGAAGTCCTGTGGCTCCGCTGACATCCTCTTCACGGAAGGCTGACAGCTGTAGTTATCGAAGACTTGTCCTGACCCTCTTGCCCTTTGGTCAGGCCTGTGCTGCTACTTATCCTCCTCCTATAAAGCTGGTGATCGACCTCTAAGATGGTCTTTGCCTTCCTAGTGTTAAAAAAGATTGCTAGAGCTGAAATTACCTTATAGAGCAATAAGGTTTTCTTTTAACTCTTGGGATCTACTTGTACTTGTTTGCAGAATTCCTGTGAACTACCAAAGAGTGGCAGCTGTATGGTGCTTTGTTGATGGGTGTGAGTTCATATGAGCTAAGCCTTGTGCTCTTTAAAACTCTTTCGTAAATATGAAAATGACAGTATATGTTGTGACACTTATGATGTTGGCTCTTTTTAATAGCTGTCAACCTGCATGACATCTTGCACATCAGGCTGCTTGTGGGCTCTCAGATTGCAGCAGAGATGCGGGAAGCCTTATGCAGTCGGCTTGGTCTCACTGGCTGTGCAGGGGTGGCTTCCAACAAACTGCTGGCGAAATTAGTTGGTGGCGTCTTTAAGCCAAATCAGCAAACAGTCTTATTACCTGAAAGTCGTCAAGATCTCATTAATAGTTTGAAACACATAAAGGAAATGCCTGGTAAGATACGATACATGTATTTGAAAAGTATTTAAGTTTTGGTTTTTGTAGTTTTTATTCTATGTCTTTAGTTTTAAAAAATTATAGATACAGTTTTCATCCTTAATTAAGACTAATTTTTACATTGTTGCTATGTGCCATTTGAGTCAATTATGACTCATAGCTACTCTATGAAAAATGTCTCTGAAACTTGCCCTATCCTTAGCCAACCTCGATATTTCTGACACATCTGACTCCATTGCCACAGTCACTGTGTCAGTCCAACTCATCCAGGGCCTTCCTCTCTTGCCCTGACCCTCACCCATTCTAAGGATGATGTCCTTCTCCAAGGAGTAGGAAACATACCCAAAGTATGTGAGATAAAGTTTCAAAATACTTGCCTCCAAGGAGCAACCTGATTTCATCCTTTCCAGGACAGACCTGTTCTCTTGGCAGTCTGTGTTCTCTTCTCTAGTTCACTACTCTTCTCTAGCTCCACAACTCAAAGGCAATGATTCTTCTGTCATACTTACTTGTTATATCTTGTGGTCTCAGATGCATCTTAATGCTTATCTGTTATATCTTATGCTCTCCGTTGCGTAGTAAGCCATTGAGAAGACCATGACCTGGATCAGGCACATCTTAGTCCCTAGACTGATATTGTTGCTCTTTAGTTCTCTGAAGAGGTCCTTGACAGCAGATTGTCATAGTGTAACTCATATTTTGATTTCCTGACTGCTGGTGTCAAGAAAATTGATTGTGGACCTAAGCAAGCTGAAATTGTTAATAGAGTCAATCTTTTATCCATCTATCATGCTACTGCTTATTGGCCCGGTGGTGAGGATCTTTGTTTTCTTAATGTTGAGATGCACTCCATGTTGAAGGCTGTAGTCCTTGTTGTTGTACAGCAAATGCTTCAAGTCTTCCTCAGTTTTGGTGAGCATGATGGTGTCATCTGCATAACACAGATTGTGGATAAATCTTCCTCCAGGCCTGAAGCTACATTCTTCTTCATAAAGTCCAGTCTCAAAAAATTTAAAAAAAGATAAAAATAAAGCTCATCTTCCTGAATTATCTATTGCACATATAAATTGAAAAGGTAGAGAGAAGGGATTCATCCTTGATGTACTCCTTTCTTGATTTTGAACCATGCAGTTTTCTCTTGCTCTGTATGTACAACAGCTTCCTCCTCTAGGTGTAGATCCTACATGAGCACAATTAGATGTTCTGAGATTACTATTCTTCTCAATTTTAGCCACAGTGTGTAGTGATCCACATAGTCAGATATCTTTGCATAGCTGATAAAACACAGATAGACACCCTTCTGGTACCTTCTGCTTTCAGCCAAGATCCATCTGACATCAGCTATAACATCCCTAATGCCACAGCCTAAATCCTGCTTTTATTTATAACAGTTCTCTGTTGATACAGTGTTGTTGTCATTTCTGGATAATCTTCATCAAGATTTTACTTGCATGTTATATTAGTGCTGTTGTTCAATAATTTCTTTGTTTTGTTGGATCACTTTTTTGGGGAATGGAAATAAATATGGATCTTTTCCAGTCAGTTAGCCAGGTAGCTGTCCTCCAGATTTTTTGACACAACCTGGTGAGCACATCCAGGGCTGTATCTATCTGTTGAAATATGTCAATTGGCATTCCATCGATTCCTGGGGCCTTATATTTTGCAATTTCCTTCAGAGTAGCTTAAACTTCCACCTTTTTACCATTGGTTCTTGATCATTTAGTACTTCCTGAAGTGATTTTGTGTCAGCCAATTCTTTTTGGTACAATGACTCAGTGTATTTCCTCCATCTTCTTTTGATGCTTCCTGGATCAGTCAGTATTTTGCCCATAGCATCTTTAAGTATTGCAACTCGAAACTTGAATTTGTTCTTTAGTTCCTTCAGTTTGAGAAATGCAACCAAGTTTCAGTTCTCTGCACATTTTGTTAAAATAGGTTGCTTTAGAAAAAAAATAGTTTGCTTTGCCTTCATGAGCTGTCCTTTGAAATTTTCTGCTCAACTCTTTAACTTCCTGATTTCTACCCTTTGTTTTATATATTAAAGATACAATACTTACTCAGCAGAGGAGATAACATGATCAAGAAGGTGATTTTCCCAGGGTGAGCTTTATTCATTGCACTCCAGATTCGCTGACCCCTGCAATTTCTCCAAATTGAGTGGGAAACTACTGCATTAATTTGTGGTAGTGGGGGACTATGTTTGTTCTGGAGAAAAAACAAATAAAGATATAGTATGACTAATTTGCACATTGGTCTTTTGGTTTTCACAGAGTCAAGTGTACATGCTTGGCTTTTTGAAAAAATCTGCTATTTTCTTGAAAGAGTCTTTATTAGGAGTTAAGTGCTAGAATATAATCATTAATGTTATCGTTTGGGGGTCATACCATCAGTGATCATACGATCATGTGTTCCCTGGTTCATGTTTTCATACTGCATTTCACTTCTTGAGAGAGTCTCTTTCTAACTGCTATGGGTTTAGGTATACAAAAGTAGCTCCAGCAGAGACTTTCCCGGCAGCTAAGACAGACAGGACCTTCACTTGACAAATGCAGTGACTGATTACAACGAATATTTCAGTGACCTGTTCAAGTCATGGGACAAATTTGTATCTTTGAAAATCACGTATTAAGGTTTTTTAGAGAACATCAGAATATGAACCTTTTTCTCTGGAATTGCTGGTAGGATCTAATGTTAAGATAAATTTTTGAAGACAGTTAACCTTAACTTAAACCTTTTCAAATAATGTTGCTTCAGAATTTAAAACTATACGTGATCCCAAAATGGATTCCACATTGTTTTGCCTTCAGTATAATTGCCGTTTGAAGCTTTGAGGAAGTGGCTCTGGGTCTGACAGTAATTGTGATAATCTGGGTGAATGATTGGAAGACTGTGTTCTGACTGAAAAGATTCTTACTCAGCTTTACTTTTTTATTTATTATTGCTGCTTTTTACAGACTTTGCATTTTTTCTTGCTGCCAAATTGCCGCCTCATTTACTTCCTCTACTAAAATATCTATCAGTCCACTTGATGACTAATTACCCCTACACACTTGTCTTCTCTGACTTTCTGCTTCTATTGTGTAGGAAAACTAATTGCATAATTTGAGAAGAAACTAGTTATCTCCTGTAAATAAAATGTGACTGAGTTTTACTGTAAGAACTTTGTGATAGAAATTTTGTTGCTAAGATTTTTTTCCCTTGTTTTTCAGGTGTATTGTGGATGATAAAGATCACCAGATAAATTTTTTGCATAAATATGTATAGGAAATAAGTTAGCTAGTAAACCTGAACTATTTGATACTAATTGCTCTAATGGCAGCCTTTATAATAATCATGATGACTGAATGCTTCTGTAACAAGTAGTGAACATTTTATTTTATCTGGGTGGCATTTAATGACTGTATTCATGATATTATGTTAGATCTTATAGGGATTTCAAAGGGTCCCTATAACTTAGGGACTCTAAGTAGAATAACTCAGTTGACAATAAAGTTTAGTCTTGGCAAAATACAAATTCTTGAACTTAAAGTTATGGGTGATAACAGTTACAATATTTTAATTAGCTTTATTTTAAGGAGAGAAGTTACAACACTGTGTGTATTTGTTTGGCTTAGGTATTGGCTATAAAACTAGCAAACGGCTTGCAGCATTGGGTATCACTAGTGTTCACGATCTTCAGATGTTTTCACCCAAAATATTAGAAAAGGAATTTGGAATGGCAGTTTCTCAGCGTCTCCAGAAGCTCAGTTTTGGGAAGGATGACTCTCCTGTGACGCCCTCAGGACCACCGCAGGTACATGGCATTAATGGGGTACTAGCTGTTGCACTACTGGAGAGAAATCTTTCCAGTTTTCATGTCATGTTCTTAGTGTTTTAGTTTGCTCTTTAGGGTAGTACATGGTCCCTTTCCTATTAGATGGGTGGGGTTTTGTATTAGATTAATATATACAGTATATACTCTTAAATTGAACCCAGTGTTTAATAGTTTTAGTCTCAGATAGCCAACTTGAGTGAAATAAAATAGTTGGGGTTTTTTTTATTAATTTTAATGAAAGTTTATAGAGACTTGTTGAAATAAAATATTTTTAATACCCTATGTTGTTTATATGAGGTACTGTATTTTGATTTTTGAGGTATCTTTTTCAAAGTGATTTATGAAAGGGGGAAAAGTTTTACTACCCAGTTAATATTAATTTCTTCTTACGTGACAGGAAGTTTACTAAGTGCTTCATGCGTATTAACCCTTTAAGTCTTTCGCAGACATCCTAGACGAAGATTGTGCTATTCCGCCTCCTTCTTTCCCTCTCTGCCTTTTTGCCTGTCTTCCCTCCTTTTTATTAAGATAAAGGCACTGTACTTTAGAAAGGTAGAATAACTCACCCAGGGTTAAACTCAGATTCAAGTCCCAGTGGATTAAAAGACTTCTGTAATTACATAGTAAAGCTTGGAGTTGGTTGTTGAATGTTAGAATTTTCTTGTCTTCGAGTATAACAACTTACAGTTAAAGAGTTTAAATAAAAGTGAACTAAATGGCTTGAACTAAGTGCAGACAGTTAGGTAGCAAAGAATGCATATTTATTTAATTGAGTGATCATAATTGGGTATACTTATTTGAGTTTATAATAGTCCTTATTTGTGCTTCTTTGGCAGTCCTTTAGTGAAGAAGATTCATTTAAAAAGTGTTCATCAGATGGTGAAGTTAAAAAAAAGATTGCAGAACTACTTGCTAGTCTTTTAAAAAGGTGATTTTTCATTTTATCACGTCATCTTATATATTCTGTATATTCATGCTATACGTATATGGAAAAACACTTTAATATTTTGTTTTGAAACTTAATTAACTGGAGATTTAAACAGTGTTTGGGATCCCTGGGTAGTGCAAACAGTTAACACTCTAAACTCTTAAACAGAAGGTTGTGGTTTAGGTTCACCAGATACGCCTTAGAAGAAATGCCTGCTTGTCTTTGTTGAAAAAAGGAAATTGACATTGACAGCACAGAGGAACACAGCTCTGCTCTGACACCCACATATATCATGAGCAAAATCAGCTCACTGACAACTGTGTTTTTTAATAATACAATAAATAGTAATGTAATTTTTAATAATATAATTTGTCACTAGGTTTTTCTACATTATAAACTATTTCAAAGGTAATGAATATGTTTAACTAAATTTAATGTGTTTACTTCTGTTAGTCTTAATTATGATAACACTGCAAAGTCATGGTGACAAAGTTTGTCATTCTGACCTGGGCCACTAACTGAAAGGTTGTGAGCTCAAATCTAGCAGCCCCTCTGAAAAGATTAGCCATTTCTTCTCCTAAATGCGTACAGCCTTGGAAACATGATGACCGCTCTCTCTGAGTTGGCATTGACCTCATGATAATAGGTTTGGTTAAGATTTGGTAGTTCCACCGTGACTGTCTAGTTGCTAACGTTTATAGACATGAGTCTCTAGAATTTCTGTACTTACTACTAGTCATCTTTGGTGACCTCTCAGGCCCTAGATGGTAGAGAGTTAACGCTGCCAACTCAGAGGCGGACAGTTCAAATTCATCGTCTCATCTTTAGGAGAAAGACAGGCAGTCTTCCCCCAATGCTGTTTATTGTTGATGATTGCCGTCGAGTGGAGCACGACTCATCACGACCATGTGAACAAAAGGCATGAAGCCTTTCTATATCTACTGTCATGTATCAAAGTTCATCGAGTTTCCAGAGGCATGTTATTAAGGAAGTGGATGCCACTCCTGCTTCCAAGCTGTCTACAGCCTCTTAAAGTCCACTGGAGGGTCAGCTATAAGTTGGTTCCGACTTGACAGTAATGAGATGATGATAGTGATTGTGCTCTTTGGTAAAAAGAAAGTAGTTTTCATTATATTCCCTGTGGCAGTTGCCGAACCTTTGCTCTGACTCTGATAGCTTCCTGGTTTTTAGTAAGAGGGATAAAAAAATTACAGAGCAGAGTAATTCTGTCATAATTCTTATTGGAACAAGTATATAAATTGTGATGTTTGAGGAAGGAAATTAGTAAGAAACAATGATGGAAGAAGCAGAAAAAAAACCCATTATGTCTCCTTGGCCTCAAACTGTGAAAGAAAAGGGAGTCAGGACCAAGGAGGCCGTAGCTCAGTGAGAGCAGATGTGTGTGAGAGGCGTGTCCATGGGGCTGTTGATTAACAATGCGTGAAAGTGTCCACTGAGATTACACGTGTACAAACAACACAGCATGAACCAAGCAAGAAATTGTAGTTTCTGATGTTCCTTTACCATAGTCTTTTTCTGAATACTCTACAAAAAGTTTTCTTCACTTTCTCCCTTAGCTTTAACTCGTTTTTACCCTAAAATTTCCCAAAATAAGGTATCAGAGGTCTAACAGTTTAGGATAGATGTGCTGTAATCATATTAGGCATGCCAACTGAGAAGAGCAAGCTGTTTTTGGATGACTCTTAAGCCTCAGAAAACTGATGAGATGGAGTTTGCTACAGCTGGGCTGTCACATGCAGTGTGGGTCTCGCAGTTGGGAGCAGAGACTGCGGTTCATCGTTCGCTGTTTGCAGCTGGAGCTGAGCCTGCAGGTGTGCTGGTGAAATTGGGTCATGTGTGCCGCTTTACCTGAATGTAAACTGCTCTGAAATGCCTAGCCATTGGGAACAGGTCTGCCCCTAGAGAAGCCACAGAGGTTTACATTTTACTTATATTTGAAATGTTATATTTCTTAGAGTTATAAATATGAGACCTTTAGATAAATGGAAGAGGTATGCCATGTTAGAAACCTTTAGGTAACACTTCCAAGTCCTTATTTTTCTTTCTTTTTAGAGTAAGCCAGGATGGAAGGAAGCCACATACAGTAAGGCTGATAATCCGTCGGTGTTCATCTGAGCAGCACTCTAGTCGGGAGAGTCGTCAGTGCGCCATTCCTTCCCATCTCATTCCGAAGCTGGGGACAGGTATGGTCTCCTTTCCATCTCATTCAGAAAATAGGGGCAAGTGTGGACTCCTTCCCATCTCATTCAGAAGATAGGGACAGGTAGGGACTCCTTCCCATTTCATTCAGAATATAGGGGCAGGTATGGACTCATTCTCATTTCATTCAGAATATAGGGACAGGTATGGACTCGTTCTCATTTCATTCAAAAGATAGGGACAGGTGAGGACTCTTTCTCTAGGAATTTAATTGACTGGTTCAGTGTTTTTTTTCCCCTTTATGTTTAAATTGATAAATGCACATGATGAATGGACAAATAGTGAAAAAGTAAAAAATGCTACCTTCTCCCTTGTGAGCTCTTCCCTTCCCTAGCAAATCATATGGGTCTTATTTCAACTTCTGCAAATATTGATGCCCAGTTTTGCCAGCATCATTTGTTACAGAGGCTTTCTTTCCCTCACTTCATAGATTTCATTTGTCAAAGATGAGTTGTCCAAAGGTAGATGGACTTACTTCTGGGTTCTCAGTTCTACTCTATTGGTTTATGTGTTTGTCATTGTTTCATGGTTACTGTGGTTACTGTGGCTTTGTAGGAGGTTTTATGAATAGGAAATGATGTGAGGCTTCTTACTTTGTCTTCTCATATCTTCTCTTTGCTTATCCAGTGTGTTTTCCTTTCCTATGAAGTTGGTGATGACTGTTTCCTTATCTTTGAAAAATGATGATGATGTCTGGATAGAGATTGCCTTGTGTTGGTAGATAGATTTCAGTGATTTTGCCACTTACACCATGCTAAGTCTTTCAGTCCATGAACATGGTATATTTTCCACTTACATGTCTCTCTTTAGATTTCTTGGCACATAGTGCTTTGTAGTTGTCTTTCTGAAGGTCTTTATATCTCTAGTTAGATTTAGTCCTAAATATTTCATTTTTTGAATGTCTATTGTAAATGGACTGTTTTCCTTATTTTTCCTTTTCAGAATTCTCATTTTTACTTTAATTTGTCTGATTTTTGTGTTTTGATCTTATGCGCTGAAACTTTGCTGAATTGGGCAATTAGATTCAGTAATTTTCTTAAGGAGTCTTTGGAACTTTTCAGGTTGAATTTTTCAAACAAAGTCTTTTGAATTACAAATAAACACCAGAGATTGTGGGTTCTTGCAAGAAGTTAAGAAGCAATTAAGTACTTTTATTATGTATTTCCATGTGACACAAGAGGCAACTCTTTTGTGGGTATTTAGATTGTTTCTATTTGGGTCTCTAATGAAAAAGGAGAAACTTTGTGTCCAGATAATTAAGTAAACATGTTTACCTTTCCCCTTACTATACAGAGAGCTCTGGTGGCCTGGTGGAAAGAAACTGTGTTGCATTTCCAAAGGCACATAGTTAGAATCCACCAGCTGCTCCACAGGAGAAGCTTGGGAAATTTCCTCCTGTGTGATATACTTCTTCTGAAAACCCACTGGAGGGTCAGCTGTGCATTGCATCCAAGTAGATGGTGCACAACAGCAACAGAGTAGATTACTGGAAGTGGAATAGCAGGTACACTTGAATGTCTTAAAAAACTGCTGATATTTTTCCAGAGTGAGTGGCCTATTTGTACATTCTTACCAGCTCTCTGTTGTTGTGTGCTGTCAAGTCATAGCTCATCCACTAGTGGGTTTTCAGCGGTGGTCTACTGCACGGGAGGAAACTGGCCATCTTCCTTCCATGGAACATCTGGTGGATTTGAACTGCCGGGATTAAAGTGCCTTTACCACAAGGCTACCAGAGCGTCCCCATCAACAATATAGGAAGATTCATTTTTTCTGTGACCTCATCTGCATTTAGTATTTGTTTTCTTTGACTGGAATCACTCTAGTGATTGTATAAGTAGTTGTGCTTTGTGATTTTTTTTCTTTTTATATACACAGAGCTTAGTGTCTTATCTGAAAAGTCTGCCTAACCAAATACTGCAGATGGTTTCTTTGAAAAGTTTTGTAGTTCTGGCTTTACATGTACATTCTTGTTGTTGTTGTTGTTGTTATTGATTACATTTTATTTCGTCAGAGGGGTGAGTGAGGGCTTTAGTGGACATAGGGGTCCACTCAGGCTTCTTGGCAGCCGCCTTCCTTGGGTGGCCAGGACATTGCAGAGTTTTTCTCTCTTGCTGATGTGTGTCCCCACCCTTTTCTTGATGAACTTGAAGGTCTGCTTGTCCTTGGGGACCTAGTAGCTCCATGGTGCAATGATCATAGGACGCAGAGCCACACACCTCCCAGATCATGACCCACGAACTTGGCATCCTTGGGGAGGCGCCCTCGGTGGTGGCTCAACCTTGTGGCTTGCTCACGTTCTTGATTACTTGGTGGTCTTGTTGAGGCCCACGCCCATCACATAGTGCACAGCCGTGGCTGCTGTACGTTGATAGCTGCCACGGCCAAAGCTAGGTTCATTTTTAGAGATTTTTTTTTCCAATTTTTAATGTGGCTGTCCACTTTTCCCATCAGCACTTACTGAGAATTACTGTTTCTCCCATTGAGTTGCCTTAACACTTTTGCCAAAATAACATTATTTCTTGATATTAGTATCAAATGGTAGGAGGCACTCTGAGCTCCTCCAACTTTACAAGAGGAAGAGAGCCACCATAGTCCTCGGCTCAAGGCTGATTTCTGGGAAGCAGAGGTCAGATAAGCCTTTACTTACCAGCTTTTTTGTGGATTTGTTTTGTTTTGCCAGTTTTGATACCAGCCGGCCCTCCTCCTGTAACCTGTACATTCTCTTCTTTTCTGCTGGGTTTGATAATTTGTAGCCATGGCCACATAGAACTCACAGACAATATTCATTAATTGGGGTATTTGTTAGGGAAGTGACAGGTTACAGGAGAGACTCGGTACAGTTGTTTACTTAGGAGAGCTGCTTTTTGATATATTGAAAGTCCATTGATTTTTTTGTTTATGAATCTTATCTCCTGCTACCTTTCTAAACGAGGCTCTGGTGGATTTTTTAAAAATTCCTTATACATTTGGGATCTTGACATCTATAACTAATGACAGTTTCTTTTTTTTTTTTCTAATCAACGTGCTTGTCATTTATCTCTTCTATCTTACTACACTGACTAGCCTATAAATACAATACTGAATAGAAGTGGTGACAACCTCCATCTTTTACCTGATCTTAATCTTAGGTAAACCATCTGTTTTTTTACCATTGAGTATATCAGTTCTGGGGTATTCACTTACCTCACCTCCACCAAGTGTAAGATGTTCTATTCTATTCATAGTTGGAGATTTTTTACTATGAAAGAAAATTGAATTTTGTAAAATACTTTTTATGGATGTTTAGTGGTGGTGACGGTGGTGTTGGTGGTACACTGTTGAGTTGCAGCCAGCTCCTCGCTGACCCTCCAGCAGGTTTTTTAGAGGTAGTAAATCACACAGAAAGAGACTTCCATCCTTTCTCCACTGAGCAGCTGGTGGATCTGAACCATATGCCTTTGGGATTGCAGCGCACCTTGTGACCACCAGCCTATCAGAGCAACATTTAATAGAGTGTTTTAAATGTTGCACTGCTGACTGAAAGCTTAAAAAGCCGTCTTCACAGCCTCAGAATCTCAAGTTTGGATTACTGAGTCTCGAGCTGTGGGTTTGATTTGATTTATTAAAATGGCTATGTGGTTTTTGTCCTCTATTTTGTTATTACAATGTATTTTAAATTTATTTTCATATTATTCCAATATTAATTTTTCTAATGAATTAGGAAATGCTCCCTTTTTCATTATCTTATCAATAAATCTGTGTTATAATACTGGTATTTCTCATTAAATATTTGATAGAATTTGCAAGTAAAGGCAAATAATCCTGGACTCTTGTTTGTGGGAAGATTTTAAAATAGTAGTTCTATTTCTTTTTAATAGGTGTATTGGATTTGTTACTTATTTTGAGTACATTTTGACAATTTGTTGATTTAGGAATTTGTGCATTTCTAATAAGTTGTTTGTCATGATGTATATAATTTTCTTATAATCTTTTTCATTTGTTTTTATCTGTACTAATATTTTCTGTTTAGTTCTTTTTTTAATTTGTATATTTCTTTTCTTGCTCATTTTAGCTAAATGTTTATCAGCTTTGCCGATCTTTTAAAAGATTTGACTTATAATTTTGTAATATTAGCTGTTATATGTTTGGACATTTCCTTAAACATCTTATTTAGGAAACTATGATGTGACGACCCCAATGGTTGATATACTTATGAAACTTTTTCGAAATATGGTGAATGTGAAGATGCCCTTTCACCTCACTCTTCTGAGTGTATGCTTCTGCAATCTTAAAGCAACAACTCCTGTTAAGAAAGGACCCCTTGACTATTACTTAACACCCTCTTTATCAACAACCTCACACCCTGGCAAACACAGCTTGGTAAGTACACTTTTTTTTTATATACACCAATCTTGAATTTGTGGAGCTACATTACAAGTCTAAATTTTATATAAGTGATAGGGTTTTTAAATTCTTCTGGGTGATATTTTTGGATGATTTATGGTTTTATAGTTTCTTTCGTAAGGGGTGTAGGTAGTATCATGAATTACAAGTTGGCCTGCTAACTGAAATGTCAGCAGCTCAAATCTACCAGTTGTTCCAAGAAAGAAAGGTAGGCAATCTCTTCCTTAAATATTTACATCCCTGAAATCTGGCGCGGAGTTTCCGTGAACTGGAGTTGACTTGATGGCAATAGGTTATTTTTTTTTTTTTTTTTAAAGTATGGACCAATTGGCAGCATCAGGATGGATGGTGAAGAGATTGAGATTGTACGCAGCTTTAGTTTGCTTGGCTCCATAGTCAACAGTCTTGGCACCAGCAGCCAGGAAATTAAAAGGCGCATTGCCATAGGAAAGTCTGCTGTTAGGGACCTCTCCAAAGTACTGAAGAGCAATGGTGTCTCTCTGGAGACTAAGGTGCATCTGATACAGGCCATGGTCTTCGCAATCACTTGTTATGCATCAGAGAGTTGGACAATGACCAAGGAGGATAGAAGAATTGATGCCTTTGAGCTGTGGTGCTGGAGAAGAGTATTGAGAATACCATGGACTGCTAGGAAAACAAACAGATTTGTCCTGGAAAGGCTTAAACCGGGTGGCTCCTTGGAGGCAAGGATTCTGAGGCCCCGTCTAACATACTTTGAACATGTTGTGAGGAGAGACCGGTCCTTGGAGAGGGACATCATGCTTGGGAGGGTGGAGGGACAGTGCCGGAGAGGCAGGCCCTCTATGAGGTGTATTGATTCAGTGACTGGGATAATTGGGATGGGAGTGTTGGAGACAGTACGATTGGCACAGGACAGAGAGGAGTTTAGGGCTGTTGTACATAGGGTCGCTATGAGTCGCAAGTGACTCGACGGCACGTAACAACAACAACAATGTATCATATTATTTGAGCGAGTTCTGATGGCCTTTGTTGTAAGGAATTGTGCTGCCAGTGCATAGGTACATGGTTCGAATCCATCAGCTGCTCTGCGGGAAAAAGGTGGGCAGTCTCTTCATGTGTGATTGATTTACTGCCTCTGAAAATGTGCTGGAGGGTTAGCTATGGGTTGGTTCTGACTTTGACACAGAACAGTAACAACAGCCATATTTTCTCCAGCATTTACATTTTTATGGGGTATTTATGTAGACCATGGCTTGGATCAGGCACACTTATATATCATCAAATGCTTTATAAAATATTCTTTTTAAAATTCTAATTTTGATATTATTGTTGATTGCCTTCGAGTAGAGAACAACTCATAGTGATCCTAAGAACAAATGGCCTGAAACCTTTCTAAAACTATTGACATTTATCAAAGTATTGAATAGACCATAGAGTCCCGCAAAAACCAAACCAGTCAGTGTTAGAAGAAATACAACAAAGTGTTCCTTAGAATTAAAATAAGATTTTTGACTCATTTGTTTTGGACACATCTTCAGTAAAGACCAGTTGCTAGAAAAAGATCTCATATTTGGTAGAGATTGTCAACAGAAATGAGGGGGGAAGCCTACAGTAAGAGAAACTGACAGAATATCTGCAGCAGTGGACAGGAACGTACCCGCGATCTTGAAAATGGCACAGATCCGGCCGTGGTCCCTTTGATGGTGTAAGCTTCCTGTGAATTGGAGCCCCCTCTACAGCGATAACAACGTCGTACGTTACAATTCCTGGTCTTGTAATATGATCGAGGAAGAAAACAGAAGCACTGGTGGATAATGCAAAAACCACTACAGAAGTTACTAATTTGGAAAGTATCCATGTTTGTCAAGTATTCTCCACATTATGTAGAAGTTTATAGGAAGATGTGATGGATTAGCTCGTAAATAGGAAAATATTGCCAGAGTCAGTAAACCACTTTTGTCTGACATTTTACGCATATGCTGCCCACTCTCCTTGTACCCTAGTATTTTCCTTTGAAGTGTATAAAAAGTCCTTGTTTTGAAGTTGGGTTTTTATGGAAATACTAATATGATTACTCATTATATAGTTGTTGAAACAGACCATGGCAGCAGAGAGGCAGAGGCCCATCATGTTTTAAATGACTAAGATGAAGCCCCCTATAAAATAGTTTTGTAATAAACCTCTGGTTATTAGAATTTAACAAACATGGAAAGCTTTTAAAAATAATTATCATTTGCTAAATTGATCCTACCTTAACTCTTAAAATATTTTTTCTTTTTTGCCGTTTAATTACCTAGTGTAATTTCAATAATGTTTATATTAAGTTTAAAAAATAAGAACTGAATGATGTTATAAAAATG